CAAATAAACCCCGTGGGTACATGTCTCCGTAACCAACTGTTGTCATGGTAACCAGGGCCCACCAGAAGGCCTCGGGAATGCTTCGAAAGTCTGTGTTGACGATGTCCATCTCAGCGAAATATACAGCGCTTGAAAAGATGACCACACATATCAGCAGAAAAAATATTAACATGCCTAACTCCTTTGAACTAGATCTTATAGTTTGACCAAGTATCTGGAGACCTGTGATGTAAATATTTTAAACACCATTTTAATCATTGTACAATTTTTATTTTATATGAATGACAGCAATAAAATTGATTTCAAAAGAGCGAGTTGTTGAACCTTTTGAGTACCGGGAGAGTTTGAATATTCTAAAAACCCTGACGAGCCGAATAACTCTCACGACGGCAAACGACATTGCCTGGTTTCCAAAACTGGAGCTCGATTTGGCGAGCATCGTGACCAAGGTTATCAAGTAGGGAATGATGGCGATCAAATCAATTACGTTCATAAAATCTGTTATGAAATCCATAACATTAGGACAACAGATGAAGCGACACACCAACTCAAATATGAAGTAAATGATGCAGACTGATTCGATCATGAAAAATTTATCTGTGAACTTTGGCATGTCATCTTCCGCGGTTGGTTTTGTTACATTACCAGTTGCATTCTCAGTTCTGTTGGTTTTATTAAGTTTTTAGTTCCAAGTTGAATAATTACTTGCTACAAGTTGTTAATATGTATCGTGCTAATTTTAATTCTAAAAATGTCCTTTACCTAACATTCGACATCGGGACTTCATCGTAAAGTAAATTTATCAAAACAATATCAACAGTTTTAAACATTTAAATTGTGAATTGTATGTGGTGATTGCTGAGCCTTTATCATCCAAACTGCTTCAAGATTGATTATAATTATTGGAAATGAAGTTTTAATTTAAATTTGCGAGTTTAGATCAGTAACAAAACAACGCGTTACTTTAAGATGATCATTAGTTATATCTTGGACGTTTAAATTTTGAAAATTTTGAAAAAAAATCAAAGAATATAAACTTTTGAACTCACTCGAAGTACTCGTCATTATCAGAAAATTTGTGAGGTCTGAAATAGGGCAAGGTTTCAAGGCAGAATATGATGATGGACAACATAATTACCGTGACTGAGAGCAGTGCTACAAAGCGTGCTTCAAGCGAGCTATCCGGATACTCAAACATCAGCCACAACTATGTACGTAACATTTAATTTGCGATTATTTTTAAAAAATTCCAATTTTTTGAATTTTCATTGCAATTCTGCATTTGCATGTTATTGGAAGTTTAAAAGGAACATTTAAAATTTTTTTAATTCAATGTAGTTTTATAAAATTTATGAAAGGTTAAACTTTTTTTTGTAATCAATGATTAATTTGATATAAAAACAAATAAATACGAAAGTTCATGTCACCTTTCTCCGCAATGGATTTCTTGGCAGCGGTTTCGGTAACGGTTTCTCATAGCCTTCATCCTGTTTTTGGTGTTTGTATGCATACGAGAATTTGTAAACTTTCACATGAAAAAAATACATCCAAATGTTCACATTAACATATCTGCTCTTAATCATTCACATAAATAATTATAAATTTCCACATATGGTTGAACGTTAAAATGTCAATGTTCACAAAATGTTCGTGTTAGATTTCGGGGCAGGAACATTTCACAAAATGTTTCATTTATTAGTCTAACATGTTTACGTTAAAGTTAAGGAAATGTTTCATTTCACATTCTTCTCATCAACCGCAACTTAAACATTTCCAATAAGCAACATTTTAACGTTAATCAGATTTATGTTAGATCATTAGAGATGAAACAAGAACATATCATAAAAATTGTGAAAATTGTAATTGTTGGTTTTATAAGCTCTGCAAGAAGTAATGCAGAAACAAACTTTATAATATTTTTCGAGAGTTGCACTATCCAGCTGGTAGAATCTGACTTCTTCAGTGAAGACATCCGTTGGTACGTTGGAAGGCCTGTGGAGACGACCTCCACTCTGATAATAGTACAAAATAGCGTTGAAACTCGGTCGATTCCGATCAAAGAAGTATTCGTCGTTTAACGCGTCAAAATATTTTTTCCGCTTCTTTTCGTCGCCGAGTAAGGTTTTTGGGAATCGTTCCAATGTCGACAAATGGGTTTCGAAACGCAGTCCACTAACGTTTATTATAACACGATCAGTATGAAAGGAAGGACTTTCATTTAAAAATTTCCTCCAAGCTATCAAACTTTGAAACTCCTGTGAAGATTTCTTCTCTGGCACTGACTCCAGCAATCTTTTCTGCCTCTGGCCAGCTGGTAAGGATTGTCTATTAGGAGTTACATTTTCATAAAGACTTTGATTGTTTATGTTAAAGTTTTGTTTGCTAAACTTGACATTATTGTTGTTTTTGTAAAATTTCTCAATTTCAAGTTGCTGATATTGTTGGAAAAGAGTTAAAGTTTGAACGTTTATGTCGGAATCTGATTTCCTACGGGGTAATGAATGGTCCTTTCCAACTTTTTTCCTCGATGAGTTATAGTTATTTTTTTTATAAGACTGTTTTACTGGCCTATAAAAACAAGTTATCAAAAATTTAACAATTAGAAAATTTTAAATCGTTTTTGATACTTAGGAAACATTCCATCGTATTTAACAACCGGTTTAAATTAAACATAAACTCTTTTTTAATAATTTTATTGTTTTTCGGTTTAAATTAGTCCGCTTGAATTTTAACGAACAACAAACAATCTATTAATGAATGAAAGATTTTTGAATTAATTTCAAGCGCGTACTCGATTCTTGTTAGTTCGATGGCCTACACGCTGTACCTATCTATCATGTTTTGAGAAGTACTTTTAAAAATCACTTCTCTACATGTCACAGGAGTTAACAAAATAAATGCTAATTATTAACCGAACCAAACTTTTATTTCAAGACATTTGAGAACAATAAGTGCTGCATATGAGAGCATGTTGATTTTATACCGAGTTGAATTGCTATCACTCAAACCGTTGGGGATCAAATTGAAGTTGAATGTCAAATGTGACTTATTTTGAACTAATAAAAAAACCTCTTACTGATATGAATTCAACATTAAAATAACTGATAGAACGACAAATATTTACAATTAGACTATAATATTTGCAATATTGCAGTCTTTCTGAAATTGTAAACATTAATAAGATTCAAAAAACAAACAAAGAAAATGAACCATGAACTGTGACGTCGTTGTTTTTTTTTGATAACAATCAGATATAGTTAAACTCTAAAACTTGTAATAAGTTTAAGAGACAAAAGCTTTATAAACCTTTGTGGTGGGAAGATTCGTTGAATTGTATCCAGTTGGAAGTTGGTTTCACAAAGATCACTTTACTTTAACACATCAGGACAGGTGACTTGTTGACAAAGAAACTGGCAAAATATTAAACAAAATTAAAGTTTAGCAAAGTTAAGTGGCACAAAGTTTGAGGAGAGAATTTTTAAAAAGTCAAGTTTATCATTAGTGTGAAATTATTTAATAATCTGTAATTTTGATCACCAACTCAACAAAAATAATGTCAAATCTAATTCTCAATTTCTGCTGGAGATTGTTTTCATTTCGCTTTACATCTAATTTGCTGTTGAAACTGTTGCACTATCATGAAAATAAGTAGAACATTCTGATTAGAAGGTTTTTACGTGACAGTTTTTGATGAAAAAATTACGCAAGAAGATTTGCCACACAAATGCGTTTCCGCAATCCACTTCACATTACTCAGAAAAAGACAATATACGTAGGTAAAATTTGCGCATGACAGTGAGTACTACAGGGATCAACTTATTTACTAGAGTTTTTTTGGGGAAATTGTAGGGTTTAACCTTTTAGTAACGACACTTTTCGGTGTAGCACTGTGTAATTTGTTAAATTAAAAATTGTTTGTTTGTTTGAAAAATCTTGATCAAAAGTTTGCTTTAATATAACTAAATAATACATCTATCAACAATTTATTTAAGAAATATCTGAATCACAAATTTAAAAAAGACAACAATCAAAACAATATTTTTGATTGATTTTTGAACAAAAAATGATCCAAGATATTATTTAATTTTTTTCTTATTCTTAATTGCTCTGTGTGAGACAAATTCGATCTTTAAAATTTTAAAGTCATGTGTTTTCAAAATTTTATTTGAAAAACAAAATATTTTCTGTTGAGTCCGATGAATTGTAAGCAGTTGAAGACATGCTCAAACGTGTGTGTACTTTACGTTAGGTCGTGTCCCATCGAGTTTTGTTGAAACATCAAACAATCAGACTTCAAACAATTAAGAAAATACTTGCGATTATAAATCTATTAAAAAATTATAAATTAACAAATGAGTAAATAATATAAATAGCAAATTTGAAACAATTTATTCGTTAAATGGGAACAAATAAGAATGAGTTAGTCATTCTTGATTCCATTGATAGCCCGACAAATTTTAAAGCGTCAATTCACGTTCAAATATTTAACCATTGAAAGAAAAAAAACGAAATACGAATTGGGAAATGAAACAAAAAATGTTCCGATCTTATAAAATAAATGCATCGAATTTTTGGAATGAAGTCAAGTTCAAGTGGCAGGGCGTGATGCAGTTTCAATTCAACCCACGCAAGCGATTAATTTCAGTACCTACTAAATGAATGCCGTAACTTGTGTAAAAAATGAAATAAAATGTGCGTTCCACTCAATCACCAGTAACTTATTTATTAAAATACAAATACAATGTTTTATTAATTCACTAAGTGAGTTAGAAATTTGCGTCTAATTAATTTTTATTTGCTTGGAGCGACATTTAAAAACCACACAAACACACATTCACTCTCTTTCTTTCTCTCACCACTCACACACATACACAAACACACACAAACACACACAAAGTGACCACCAACTCACAAATATGATCCGAAACATTACCGCAGCGCATGACATGGTCATCCATTCCATGCTTCAATTATTCTCTCTCTCTCTCTCTCTCTCTCTCTCTCTCTATATATATATATATATATACAAGAAACAATATATATATATATATTATATATTATTTATATATATCGTATTTAACACTACCAGAAAATGTATGATTATAAACATACATACATAGTTATGTTCATCATATACGCTGACAAACGGTGATCGAGTGTTACTTATGTATGAAAAGTTACGAACCAACATTCAGAAACATCATTACGTACCTTTGTGTCCGTATAACTTATAAAATTGTTGCGCCTGGATAAAACTTATTATTGTTTAACATTTAAAAATAAATAACTTCGACATATATTTAATTATAATTATTAATTATGCTCTATAAATAAGTAAATAAATAAGTATGCTTGTATGTATGTATATTAATATATGAGTGATTATTATTCATTAGTTTAATTATCTCTGAACATAAATAACAGTTAGTATACGCGCATCAATGAAAAGATGAGAGACATATGTGTTATATAACGAGGTGATCTGAGGAACTAATTGAATTGGTTCACGTCGTTATCATTGGCAGACTGATTGATGTGAACGTTTTCCCTTTGAGGATGGAACCCTGCGTGGTGGAGAGCTTGAGTGTCACTCCTGTCTGCATCTCTCTCTTCTTCCTGCTCCGTCACGTCTTCGTAGAAATATTCTTCCGGGTATCTGTCATCGTAGTTGTAGTTTTTGTCGTCTTCATCGTCTTCTTCGCCATCATCGTCTTCGTCGTAATTGCCATCGTCGTCATCGTCGACGTCATCAACTTCTTCGTCATCATCGTTTTCCTCTTCTCCATCGTTGTAGTCAACGCTGACGTTTCTGTTGAAAGTTTGAGCGTTTTGTTGTCGCGTGTGAACGTCCTGCCGTGACGACTCGTGCTTCAGCTTGTTCTGCATCGTCATCTCCTCGTCGCCAACGCCACCCGCCGCATCCTCTGCCGCTTGCAGTTGAAGAAATTTCTCCCTTTCTTCACTGTCCGCTTCTTTGTGGTAGAAGTAATTAAAGTTTGAAACGATGACGGGAACTGGCAGGGCGATGGTGAGGACACCTGCGATGGCGCACAGGGAGCCAACCAGTTTGCCCCAGGGACTCGTCGGCATCATGTCCCCGTACCCAACTGTTGTCATGGTAACGACTGCCCACCAGAAAGCGTCGGGAATACTCCTGAAATGTGTGTTAGTGACATCTGCCTCGGCGAAGTATACGGCGCTGGAGAAGAGGATGACGCAGATGAGGAGGAAGAAGATGAGGAGACCCAGTTCTCGAAGACTTGCTTTGATCGTTTGACCGAGTATCTGCAGGCCTTTTTCGATCAACAATATCATTTATCAATTTTATTCAAATAAAGTAACGATAGGTTTTAGGAATCTAAATAATAAAACTTAAAATAAAAAAAAACAATTTTTTTTACGAGCAGTTAAAAAATTTGTTATTAAATTTAAAAATTCCAAATTCCAAACCTTTTGAATGGCGAGAAAGTTTAAAAATTCTGAAAACCCTGACAAGTCTTATGACCCTAAGGATGGCTAGCGACATGGCCTGGTTGCCCATGCTCCTGTTCGAGTTGGCGAGCATCGTGCAGAGCGTGATCAAATAGGGCATGATGGCTAGTAAGTCTATGATGTTCATGATGTTTTTGATGAATGCATACACGTTCGGACAACAGATAAATCGCAGGAAGAGTTCGAAGAAGAAGTAAATGATGCAAGCTGTCTCGATGATGAAGAACGCATCTGTGAACTTCGGGATATCCTCTTCAACGCGTGACTCCGATATGTTGCCAGTAGCGTTGACAGTCCTGCGTGCGAGTTAACGTGCGTCTTTTTGTTGCTTTCTTATCATAATGTTTTAAACGGTAAAACGTGTTTGCAAATTTGCATTTTCAACGTTTAAGATTTTTGTTGAATTATTTCATGTTTTAACAATAATTACAACTACAATATACTAGCAAATAAACAGCTAAGTTGGCCTTCCCTGCTTATAACGATATTACATTACATTACACTACATTACACTGCGTTGTTGATTTGCACTTATAATATCGCAAGTATTATTAACATTGTAATTGTGAACTGATATAATATCAAGATTTGCAAATGGAGATGAAATAATATTGCGCACGCCATTGCAGATTGGGCCGATCTATTTTAAGAAGGAACCTTCGAACGTGGAGGCAGATAGGTAGGTGGGTAGGTAGGCAGACAGGCAGCGTGTGTATTTGTCTCAGACACTCTGAGACATAGGCAAACACACACACCCACACAAACACACACACACACGAATTCAGTGAGTAGTAAGCTTTTTAAAGTGAAAAATTGCGTGACTTAAAGAGAACATGACTGCAAATGTGCGGCGTGACAGATCACTTGCGATCCCCCAGTCGCTAGCATGCTGTTTTGCATATTTTTCAAATTTTTTCGTGAAAAGTATTTCAGGAATGAATTTTTTCAAAATTTTTTATTCTTTATTCTAAAGTTAAGCAAATGCTGTTAAAGACTTCCATGCATGAAATTATACATTAAAAAAGAGCACCAGTTGAATAAAGTGGAAATAACAAGAACGGTATTAATAATAATACACCGTAAAAATAAACAAACTTAACATTAAGTGCATTAAAAAAAATTTATTTATTGTAAAAAACCTTTCCTAATACGTGAAAATAATGTTTGAATAATGAATTAAATTAAATGAATGAAAACTACAGACGTCATTTAAAAAAACAAATGAGAAACTGCTGAGGTGAGCCAACCTGTAGCTTTTAAACTGGGGCAGAGTTTCAAGGCAGAAAATGACGATTGATAGTAGGATGACGGAGACGGAGAGCAGAGCCAACAAACGAGCCGCCATTGAACTTTCTGGATATTCAAACAGCAGCCACAACTACCGTGTGTGTGTATGTTTGGTTGATGTCGATTGATGAGTGGTCATGAGTGGTCGTGAGTGATGGCGAGTGGTGGCGAGTGGTGTGGTGTGCAAGTGGTCGTGAATTTTTAGTAATTAGAAGTAAGTCACAATAGAAAGTGAATATATGTATATTTTAATGTATATATATCTTAAAAGGCTTCAGTCTTAAACCATTGAGGAGCGAAATCATGTTTGTATAATTTCATCTATAAAAATTTCGTTCGTTAACATCAGTGGTCACTGGTGAAGTCAGAAAAGAACAATAGGAGATGACTAAATCAGAAAGACAGGTATTTAGTTCTAAAACTGTTGAAGACATTTTCAGAATTCTTTGTTTCTCGGGGTATCTGAAGGCAAAAGCCTGTCTTAGAAGTTCGGATGTTACATCAGTCTGGTACACTGCCGTAAATTTCCTGACCTGACGTTCCAGACCTGCTTCTGTGAAGTCTATCAAGAGCTGCGGAAACAAAACGAAAATAAATCGACATAAAACGCCTGAAGAGATTCAGATCGAGTTTTTAGTTGCCTTAAGCATGTATCAACGACTGGAAGGTGAACATTAACTCTAAATGTATCATAAGATATTCCAGACGAAAATCTTTCGATATTTCATCAAAACATTGTTTGTCAGAGATCTTGTGCAGCTAGCAGCAGTATGTGGTGACAATGACCTAAGCGAAAGTTTGTTTTGCGGGCTTGTTACGAAGAGTTTGATAAATGTCATTTCATGTTTGATTTTAATGCATATTTAATGTAGCTTCTGCGATGAATGATTTTTCTCGTTAATGTTATCTCCGTTTGATAAATTACTTTGAATTATTAATAATATCGCAGAGTTCAGCAAACAAGTTCAACGATATGTTCCACACAATTATTTCAAAATATATTTATTTTCTAAAATTTAAATAAAATATTAGCTATATAAAACAAAAATAGAAAATTAAAAGGTGTATTTTACTATTTATAGACGAGCGTTAATGAGCTTAATTGATTGAGCTTGATTATTTCGTGACAGACTGAGTAACATAGTCAAACAGGCAGACATATAAATAAAAGAAAATAAATATAGACAGACACAAAGACAGACAAACACATAGACAGACACAGACAAACAGTCATACTGTACAGACAGACATGTATACAGACTGACACATAGACAGACAGATTTACAGACAGACACCTTTCTTTTAAATTTATTCGTCGGTAGAGGTCGAGGTGTCGGTTTCACGTAGCCTTCATCCTGCGAACATTTGATATTAATGGCATTATTATTTTATATTAATTATCACTACCACATTTAGGTCGCTTTTTATTCCCTGATGTGGAATTTTGTAGACGATGCTGTTTTTAATAACCACAACTGCAGAGATTAACTACATCCCTAGCGATTTCAAATTTCAAATGAAAATAATTGTTTCCATTATTAATTATTATATCAACTATTTAAAAACTTTGAGATCTGATTTAAATTTTTACATTGTTAGGAAATCAATCATTCCATCAGAAATAATAAATTTATAATAACTACTTACAAAAATTGTAACGATGGTGTAATTGTAAAACATCAAATGGAATTTGTTTTAAAAAATAAATTAATTTTTTAATAATTATTCAATTAATTAATTATATTAAATAAATAGATAAATGGTTGGATTAAATGAATAAATGGGCTGCTAACATCAAGGTACTGCTGGACTGCCTGGTCGTCCAGTTCGTAGAATCTGACCTCCTCTGTGAAGACGTCCGTCGGAACGTTCACAGGCCTTCGAAGTCTGCCCCCACTCTGGTAATAATACAAGATGGCGTCGAAACTCGGACGATTGCGATCGAAGAAATATTCATTTTTTAAAGGGTCGAAAAATTTGTTTCGCTTCTGTTTATTGCCGAGCAGAGTGTTTGAGAAGCGTTCTAAAGTTGTCAGTTGAGTTTCAAAGCGAAGTCCGCTGACGTTGATGGCCACGCGTTCGCTAGGAGAGCAAGTTTGTTCGTTGAGGTATTTGCGCCAGTGTAACAGAGAGGTAAATTCGTTTGAGATGCGTGCTTGCTTGGTAGTGGAGCTGAAGGGTCGTTTGGATTCCTTCTGGTTGAGTTTCGTTGGAGACTCGTCTTCGTTGGTGATCGAAGATGAGAGTGGTCGCATCTTCTCGATCTCTCTGAATGTCGTCGTTGCATTCATTTCCTCGTTCTTCATCCCAGGTATGTTCTGGATCTTCAACGTTTCTTTCTCATTTAAAGGGCTGGCGTTCTTTTTGTCCAACAAACTTTCTTTATCGTCTTGTTGGCGTTTGTTGTTGTTGTTGGCGCTTTTGTTGTCGATGCTGGCGTTGTTGATGCTGATGTTGTTGTTGATGTTGTTGTTGATGATGCTGGTGTTGTTGATGTTGGAGTTATTTTTGTTGTTGTTACTGGCTTGCTGTTGTTGTTTTTGCTGTTGATGCTGCTGAACTAGTTGTTCCTGTAACATTTTTTGCTGATGATACTGTTGAAGGTAATATTGTTTTCTAATGTTAGTGTCGGATTTGCTGTGCGTTAAAGATTTGGAGTTGGTTGATGATTTCGCGGAAACTTGCAGACGATCTTTCATCAACTGTGAGCTTACGCTGGGCCTATGTAGGACAACAAATTATTTTTACTATAATCTACGAGAATTGAAAGTGGCATTGAAAATTAGCAACACCAAAAACAAATAAAAAGCTGGTAGACCAATACAACATCAATGACAAAAATATTTATGATGACCCACAATATAATAATGTTCGTATATTCAGAATAAAATTCAATATTAATTTATAATTTTTTTTACA